CTTATGTCTTTTTTTGTATTTCTGTGGTATTTGTTGTTATTTCTCCACCATCCTTTCTTTTTTTAAAGTTTTTTAATTTGAGTCCTCTCTCTTTTCTTCTTGGTGAGCCTGGCCAGAGGTTTGTCAATTTTTTTTTACCCTTCCAAAGACCCAGCTCTTGGTTTTATTGATTTTTTCTATTTTTAAAATCTCTTATTTATTTCCTCTCTGATCTTTATTAGTTCCTTCTGACTTTAGGTTTTAGTTCTGCTGACTTTAGGTTTTGTTTGTTCTTCTTTTTCTAATTCTTTTAGGTGGTAGGTTAGGTTGTTTATTTGGGATTTTTCTTTTCTTTCTTTCTTTTTTTTTTTTTTTTTTTTGAGAAAGGCTTGTATCACTATGAACTTCCCTCTGAGGACTGCTTTTGCTGCACCCCATAGATTTTGTATGGTTGTGTTTTCATTGTCATATGTCTCAAGGTATTTTTTAAATTTCCTCTTCGATTTCCTCATTGACCCATTGTTTTTTAAGTAGCGTGTTGTTTAGTCTCCATGTAATCTTTTTTTTCTCATTTCTCTTTCTGTTGTTGATTTCCAGTTTGATGCTGTTGTAGTCAGGAAAGATGCTTGGAATAATTTCTATCCTCTTAAATTTGTTGAAGCTTGTTTTGTGCCCTAGTATTTGGTCTATTCTAGAGAGTGTTCCATGTACACTTGAAAAGAATGTGTATTCTGCTTTTTTTTTGATGTAATGTCCTGAAAATATCAATTAAGTCTAACTGTTCAATTGTGTCATTTAGGATCTCTGTTGCCTTATTGATTTTCTGTCTGGAAGATCTGTCCATTGATGTCAGTGGGGTGTTAAAGACTCCTACTATTATTGTATTCCCATCAATTTCTCCCTTTATGTCTGTTAATATTTGTTTTATGTATTTAGGTGCTGCAATATTGGGTGCATATATGTTAATGAATGTAATACTCTCTTCTTGTATTGATCCTTTTATCGTTATGTAGTGTCCTTTATCCTTTGTTTTAAAGTCTATTTTTTCTGATATGAGTATTGTTACCTCCACTTTCTTGTCATTTCTATTTGCATGAAATATCTTTTTCCATCCCCTCACTTTCAATCTATGTGTGTCCTTTGCCCTAAAGTGGGTCTCTTGTAGGCAGCATATTGTAGGCTCTTGTTTTATTATCCGGTCTGTCACTCCATGTATTTCGATTGGAGCATTTTGTCCATTGACATATAAGGTAATTATTGATAGATATGTATTTATTGCCATTTTAAACCTTATTTTCCAGTTGATTTTGTATTTCTTCTTTGCTTATTTCTTTTTGTTTTTCCTTTTGTGATTTGATGATTATCTTTTGTATTGTGCTTTTGTTCTTTTCTTTTTGGTTTTTGTGAATCTATTGTATGTTTTTGATTTGTGGTTACCCTGTTTTTCAAGTATGTTAACTCATTACTATATCTACTTTCTTTAGACTGGTAATCATGTAGGCTAAAGCATGTTCAAAAAAAATTCTACATTTTTTTTACTCCCCACATGTTTTATGATTTTGATGTTCTTTTTTACAGTTTCATGTTTATCCTTTTTCTGTTCATTGTAGTTATCATCACTTTCACCAGAATTTTTTTTTTAATCTGTGTACTGGCTTATTTAAGTGGTTTACTTTCCAACTGTGATTTTCTCTTTTCTATAGATTTTTGCTTCTTTTCTATTTAGAGAAGACCTTTCAGTATTTCTTTTAGAATAGGTATTCTTTTAGTTTTTGCTGTATTCTTTTTGTTTTTGCCTGAGAAATTATTTATCTCTCCTTTTATTCTAAATGATAATTTTGTTGGGTAGAGTATCATAGGTTGCAGATTTTTCCCTTTCAGGACTTTGAATATATCTTGCTACTCCCTTCTGACCTGTAATGTTTCTATAGAGAAATCAGCTGATAGCCTTATGAGGGTTCCCTTGTAACTATCTCTTTGTTTTTCTCTTGCTGCCTTTAGAATCCTCTCTTTCCCTTTAACTCTTTTTTAAAAATAAATTTATTTATTCATTTTTGGATGTGTTGGGTCTTCATTGCTGCACGTGGGCTTTCTCTAGTTGTGGCAAGTGGGGGCTACTTTTCATTGCGGTGTGCAGGCTTCTCATTGCAGTGGCTTCTCTTGCTGCGGAGCATGGGCTCTAGGCGCGTGGGCTTCAGTAGTTGCAGCACGTGGGCTCAGTAGTTGTGGTGCACGGGCTTGGTTGCTCTGCGGCATGTGGGATCTTCCTGGACCAGGGCTCAAACCCATGTCCCCTGCATTGGCAGGCGGATTCTCAACCACTGTGCCACCAGGGAAGCCCCACGTTTAACTCTTGCCATTTTAATTAAAATATGTCTTGGTGTGGGTCTGTTTGTGTTCATCTTGTTTGGGACTCTCTGTGCTTCCTGTACCTGGATATCTGTTTCCTTCTTTAGGTTTGGGAAGTTTTTAGCCATAATTTCTTTAAATACACTTTTGACCCCCTTTCTTTCTCTTTTCCTTCTGGGATCCCTTTTATATGTAGATTGGCACAGTTTATATTATTCCATAGGTCTCATATATTGCTTTCAATTTTTTCATTTGTCTTTCTGTCTGCTGTTCTAACTGTGTGATTTCCATTATTCTATCTTCCAGATCACTTATTCGTTCTTCTGCATTATTCAGTTTGCTATTTATTGCCTTTAGCTTAGCTTTTGTCTTGGCAAATGAGTTTTCTAATTTTAACTGGCTCTTCTTTATAGTTTCTAGTTTTATTTTACAGTAATCTGCATTTCTATTGATAACCTTTCTTAATTCCTTCAGTATTTTTATTACCTCCTTTTTGAACTCAGGATCTGGTAGACTAGAGAGGGCTTTTTCATTGTTTGTACTTTCAGAGGAATTCTCTCGATCTTTTAGTTGGGAGTGGTTCCTCTGCTTCTTCATTTTACTTATATTTCTCTGACTCTATGAGGTTAGAAGAAACTGTTACCTACCGTGGTCTTGAAGGGCTGTTTTTATGTGGAAGCATCCCTGTGTAGATTGTGCGAATCTAATATTTTTGGCGTGAGGGTTGTTTTTAGTATAGATGCCTTCCATGTCTTTCCTCAGTGTGTGCTGGCTGTTATCCCCTTGATAGGGGGTGTGATTGGTATTGTGATGACCAGAGCCTGCATTGTATATTGAGCAGAGCCTCCTCTTTGCTCTGTGGTTGTCAGAGCCCTGACAGACCCTGTCTGGGACAGGGTCTGCTCCCCAGTTGTTGGAGTAGAAGCCCCCAGATCCATTTCTGAGCTGTGGTGTGAGGTAGGCGGGACTGGAACACTTCTGCTAAGAGAGGAGCTGCTGTGTATTCCTCCACAGGAGCTGTCTCCTGAGAGGTGCACTCTGTGGTGTCGCCTGCCACCTGTTGTGTGGGCTCACAAAGTATACTGTTGTTGGCACTGCCCCCAGCCCCACCACAACCATGGGAATGCAGGCAATCAGCCCAGGTGTCCCTCAGGTGCTGTGCTCACGAAGCCACCAGCACAGACTCATTGGCACAGATTTGCTGAAGTCAGGCACCAAGACTGCTATAGTCATGCACCTGGATCTGCTGTGGGAGTTATGACATTAGCCCATACCCTGACCCTGCTTCTGCATGAACTTGTGCCCTCAAAGCCCGCAGCTGTTGATGCTGGACCCACCCCAGCCATGGGAGCACCAGTAATCTGCTCAGATGTCCCACAGGCACTGAGCTTTCAAAGCCATTGGCGGCACATAAATCCACGGGTAACACAGGGCTGGGAGATGGCTCAGATTTTAGCCCTGCTTCCGAAGTTGCACGGCCCCTGGGAATGGGCTCAGATTTAAGCCCCACCTCTGCAAGTGGATAACCCCCTGGTGCTTGCACACTCCCAGAGCTCGTCGAGGTAGAGCTGTGCCCGCTGTAGGCACGCTGAAAATGAGGCTGCTGTGGCAGGGCCCTGCCTCTCCCTTTGTGCACATTAACAGTGTGACTCCTATGGCAGACCCAGGCTCAGTTCTGTGTACCTGATTACAGCTCGGACCACACTCCAGCCCCTTCAGGCTGTCTCCGTGCAGCCAACCCCAGTCCTCTCTCCGGGTCTGTCCACTGAAGACCGAGTTTCAGCACCCAGCCCCCATGCGCACCAGCATATCTGTATCTTGGCCTGGAGAGTGCAGGGAGGTGGCCAGCACCCTCTGTGCTGGTTTCTCTCTGTTCTGCCTGCTGCAGCCCAGCTGCTGCACTCTCCTCTGAGGCTTTGAAGCTCCCTTTCTGTCCCAGCTGATCTCCCAAGCAGTGAAATGTGTTCCCAGGGTGAGGGAACCTTTCCTCTTTCACAGCTCCCTTCCAGGAGTGCAGGTCCTGTCCCAATTCTTTTTTTTTTTTCTTTTATCCTACACGGTTACATGATGATTTTTCTTGCAATTTTGTTTGTACGAGATCTCCCACCCAGCATTCAATAGGTATTGTGTGAGAATTGTTCCACATGTAGACGTATTTTTGATGTATTTGTGGGAGGAGGTAAGCTCCACGTTCTTCTATTCTGCCATCTTGATCTCTGCCCTCACTTTGGTATTATGAGACCTTATATCTATATCCATCTCTGCATCTGTGTCTCTGTTGCTCTCCATTTAAGTCTATATCTTTATCCATATTTCCAGATCTATACCTATCTACAAGGAAACATATAACTTGTATTATTTTACAACTTGCTTTTTTATTTGTGAAGCAAGTCTCAGGCACCATATCATTTCATCTGTATTTCAGAATACATACATCTTTTTCCTAGGGGTGTTCCTACTGCAATGAGATGGTAAGGGAAGTGACAATAATGTTGGTATCAGTCATTGCATTTGGGTCACGGAGAATAACTGTACATTTCTTATTCTAATACCTTTCCAGTAATAGCAACAACAATCACTAACATTTATATAACGATTATAGCTTTTTCAATCTCATTTTATTATCTTCTCATTTCATTTTATTAGGAAGCACTTTTATTTGTATTTTATAGATGAGGAAAGAAAGCGCAGAGAAATGACAAGACTTCCTCAAATCGACGTAACATGCTATCAGTCTAGGTCTGAATCCTGTGCCCCATCAGTATCCAAGAAGATGCTTTGGGATTTTAATTGGATATTAATTAATAATTTGGATTGGAAGTGTTCTCTTATCAAGACAGAGAAGGCAAGACTGAAGTAAGTATTTGATGATACATTTAATAAGATTCTACTTTTAAGAACCTAATACCAAACATACAATATAAAATAATTATTCCCCTCCCAAAGTATAAATATACCCTTAAATTTTAGAAAATACTGCATACCAACTGGCCTAATTGGTTTTGTTTCTGTCTGTGAATTTTTGGACCTTCTTGTAAAGTAACTAACATGGTCTTCCCTAGCATATAAATTTGGTCACAAATTTTAAGCCTGAAGCCATATTGTTAAGAACAAAGAGCTAGCTAGGTGATCTGTGGAAAGGTAGACAATAATGGATGTGCCTCCTCTCCAGCAGAGGAAATCAAGCCCTCCTCCTTGTTACTCCTCTCTATCAGAGCAAACTGATTACTTGGATGTGTTCTGAATAGTTCATCTAAAATGGCTCGAGGCAAGAAGACACTTGAGGTTTTATAATCAACCTTCGGGCTTCTATGGATCATTCTGATGCACAGAAGTCATCTTTGACAGGCTGACAATCACACACAGGTTTTTCTGGGGGATTAAGTTGGTTATTTTTGTATGCTGTTAAAAGGTTTTCTATCTGGGTTGCCAGATTTCCACAGAGAAAAAGAAACAAGTATTTTTTAACTTGAAAAATTCCATGATAATACTAGAATTAATAACTAACAATTATCTTCATAGTGCTTTGGAGTTTATCAAGAGCTTTTAATTATCTTATTAACAACAACTCATTGAATATGGCATTATTTTCACTCTCATATCTTTTTAAAATTAATTCATATATTTATTTTTGGCTGCACTGGGTCTTGGTTGCTGTGCATGGGCTTTCTCTAGTTGTGGTGAGTGAGGGCTACTCTTCGTTGCAGTGCGTGGGCACTACAGTGGCTTCTCTTGTTGCGGAGCATGGCTCTAGGCATGCGGGCTTCAGTAGTTGTGGCCCACAGTCTCAGTAGTTGTGGCTCGTGGGCTCTAGACAGCAGGCTCAGTAGTTGTGGTGCATGAGCTTAGTTGCTCCGTGGCATGTGGGATCTTCCCCGACCAGGGCTCAAACCTGTGTCCCCTGCACTGACAGGCAGATTCTTAACCACTGAGCCACCAAGGAAGTCCCTCACTCTCATATCTTAGATGAGCAAACTGAGACTAAGAGAGTGACTGAAAACTACATCTTTCAAGCACAGGTTCCAATGTTTCCCGTAACCAAATCTGTTGCCTTGCATACTCAACAATCATAATGAACAGTGATTTCAGTTTAAGGGATTATCCTTTCATGAATCAAGGGTAATGTCTCTCTTTGATGATAAATGTTACCCAAAGAGGAAAGCAGGCAATCTGCCACCTTTTCATGCTTCTGGCTCTACTGAGGGAATGCCTTTTGGTCCCAGGGAAGATTATTTACCACACAGGCAGTCCCCAAGGAAGCCCAGGGTTTACACATGTGTCTAAACACTGCTTGACACTCTGACCAGGAGCAATTTTCCCAGAGTCTACAAGCACCCTGCACCTTTTGGCTCAGTTTCAAACTGGAGACAGGCTTGGAAGGAAAAGATCTTTCTCCTTCACTTCCCTGGGGAAGTCTTGAGAAGATGTCTCCTTTGTTACTGGTTCCCAGATTGCCCTCTGAGTGGTCTTGGAGTGATCTAGAGGGGTCTGCAAGAAGTTAATGGGTACTAAGCATGGCCTGTGAATGAGATAAATGAAGTGTCTCCCATGAAAGTGTTACTATTTTTCAAGTAAATGAGGTTACTATTGGACTTAATTAAAATAAAAATTAATTTAAGAGCAATACCAAATGCTTAGTAGCATTTTGCCATGATATATGTTTGTAACCAGTGGTTATGAAAACTACTGCCACGATCATATGGAGATGGCATTTTTTAACGTGCAAATCTCCTCTTACACAGAAATGCTGGGAATGACTACTTACCTCCAGAGGAACAGGACATCAGAAGATAGTTTATTACATTCTTTTTCATACTGCTTAACATACTGCTGAAAGTCACAATATCTCCCATTATTGATATGATGCAGATTTTTCTCCCATGAGGATTGAGCCACAGGGATCCTCAGAGATCAGCTAGTCAGAGTCCTCATTTTTTTTTTTTTTTTTGCGGTATGCGGGCCTCTCACTGTTGTGGCCTCTCCCGTTGCGGAGCACAGGCTCCTCACGCGCAGGCTCAGTGGCCATGGCTCACGGGCCTAGCCGCTCCGTGGCATGTGGGATCTTCCCGAACCAGGGCACGAACCCGTGTCCCCTGTATCGGCAGGCGGACTCTCAACCACTGCGCCACCAGGGAAGCCCCAGAGTCCTCATTTTAAAATGAAGAACCTGAAGCTAGGAGACGTGAAAGGACTCACTCCAGGGCACACAGTTGAGGTAGGCTGAACCCACATCTGAAATCATTTGACTCTTTGAATCCAGAGTACCCACTCTGCTGCCACCATAGTAGCCATTAATTATGACCTCATTATCTGAATCTTCATAGTAGTCCTGTGAGGTAGATAGTATCATTTCCTCTTTACAGATGGAGAAACTGAGGCACTAAGCCATTAGGAACTTGCCCAAAGTCATACATAAATTACTACAGATTGAGTGGCTTCAACAACAGAAATTTATGTTCTCACAGTTCTGGAGGCTTAAAGTCCAAGATCAAGGTTGTGGCAGAGGTTGGGTTTCTGGTGAGGTCTCTCTTCCTAGCTTTCAGCAACCACCATCTTGCTGTGTTGTCACATGGTCCTTTCTCTGTGCACGCAGCCATGCATGGAGAGCTGAGTTCTAGTCTCTCTCTTCCTCTTCTTATAAGTACACTAATCCTATTGGATTAGGGCCCCACCCTTATGTCCTCATTTAACCTTAATAAGACTTTAACCTGCTTAAAGGCACAGTCACGTTGGTGGTTAGGGCTTCAACATATGGATTTTTTGGGGGGGTCTTGAGGGGGACACAATTCAGCCCATAGCACTCTGTGTTTCAAAATATTCTCCAGGGCTTCCCTGGTGGCGCAGTGGTTGAGGGTTCGCCTGCCGGTGCGGGGGATGCGGGTTCGTGCCCCGGTCCGGGAGGATCCTACATGCCGCGGAGCGGCTGGGCCCGTGAGCCATGGCTGCTGAGCCTGCACGTCTGGAGCCTGTGCTCCGCAGCGGGAGAGGCCACAGCAGTGAGAGGCCCGCGTACTGCAAAAAAAAAAAAAAAAATTCTCCAGAGGCATGTAAAGTTTATGTGCCTACCATCAGTTCATAAAGAGTTTTCCCCTGTATCCTTGTGTACCCTGTATCCTTGCCAATACTGGGTATTACTATTTGAAAATGTTTGTCCAATTGATGTGCTAAAATAATGGCTTTTTGTGGTTCTAATTGTAATAATTTTTCATACATGTATGTATTTTTGTTTTATGGGTTTCCTATTTATTCCATTTGTCCATTTTTAAATTTGGTATTCATTATTTGGTACATATGTGGGCATGTATACCTTTTGTCACATATTATAAAAATTTTTTTAAAGTCATTTTTACTTTTAAATTCTGTTAAGGGGTTATCACTGTTTTAATTTTGTTGTGATTTATTTGTTAGATAATATTATACTTTAAAATTGATTTTTTTTCTTTTTTAATATTTTATTTATTTATTTGATTGCCCCAGGTCTTAGTTGAGGCTCTCTGTTCCTTAGTTGTGGCATGGGAACTCTTATTTGTGGCATGCATGTGGGATCCTCATTTCCCTAACCAGGGATTGAACCTGAGCCTCCTGCATTGGGAGCGTGGAGTCTTAACCACTGCGCCACCAAGGAAGTCCCTAAAATTGATTTTTAATTACCAGCATTTATCTCCCATTCTTTATTTTATACAGGAAATAAAATTTATTATAGCAAACCTATAAAATTTAGATAAGCAAAAAAGAAAAAAATCACTTAGATGTTAGCTTGGTAACTGTTTTTGTGTATATTCCTCTAAACTTTCCTATGCAAATACATATATTTATGTAAATTCATATATTATACATAGGCTTTTAAAAGTTGTGCAAAAAATGGGACAAACCCAAATTAGGCACAGCCTGAAGCTGTTTGGCCCTGTTTTGCCTTGCTCCCCTGATGGAGCTGCCCTGGCAAGTCTCACCTGCCACTACTGTCCTTGCCAACTGAAAGGAGGGATGCTGTGCCTGTCCTCTGGCTGGACTGGAACTGCAGAGGCTGTGATATTACCATTGGCTGTCTGGAGAGGCTAAGTGACACAATCTAGAAAAGGGGAAAGGGCTAATGCCTTTGACTTTGAGCAGTGAGAGGAAGATAGGAAGGGACCAGCAGAGAAATTGTTCATCCTTTCTCCACTCGGTGGATTGTTCTGAGGAGCAGTGTTACATGTCACCTCTCTGGGGACATTTTGTTTGAGCAACCAGCTGTATTGCTTAATAACATGCCACAATGTATTTGCTCTCCCTCTTTCCCTGACCACTTCCCTTTTCCTTCCCTAATGCTTCTCTAAGATTGTAGCTCCAATAAAGCATTAGCACGAAAGCTTAGCCTCATGTTCTATGAGATAATTTTGGCTAATACTATTTTTGTATTTTTATCCCAGGATGGCAAATAGGTCTGTTTAATCTTACACATTAATTCTGATAATCTATATTATACATAGACTTCTTAAAGTTGTGCAAAAATGAGATCATACTTATATTGAACCCAGTTCGAGCCAGTGTATTGGTTGTGGCTATTGTGAGGATTGTATTGGGAAAGATTCTAAAGCTCTATTCTGATCTCAGCTGGAAAGAGAGTTATGATTTATAAGCAATATCTGCAGTGCGCGTTTAGAATGGGCTTGGCAGAGCAGTAGAATGCAGGAGCCAAATTGACCTCCTGAGAAGTTATCCAAGTTTATATGGCAGGAGGGGTGTTTTTCCCACACCCAACATTGAATATTATCGTTCTTTAAAAAAAAAAAAAGTTTCTAGTTTTTGGGTTAAGATAAATTATACCTTATTTTCTATTTCTTTGATTTGAAAGTAATTTTTCATATCATTACTGA